TTCATAAAAGTATGTGCGTGTAGTCCTTCAGCCCTAAATGAAAAACACAATGTAGTCCTTCCTCTTGAATATTTGTGAAATTATGCATTTATCGCTTGTACACATAATTGTTTTAATTGTAAGCTGTGTGAACGAAATGCAAAATTTTGATGTGTGTCCTTTCTTTTGTCTGTTTCAAAATCTGTATGTGTTGGGAAATTCTGCGTGTTGTTGTTTGTGTTTACGCAAAATTTTAAGGTTAACAGCCACATGTTGCAGCCGTTTGTTTGTGTTCTTGTAAATATTGATTGGAATACTTTGCAAGAATTGTCATCATTGCATTTGATGGATATTGGTCACCTCGCACCAACAATGTTAGTTTTTTCCTTAAAGACTTGCTACCAGTTGGTTTGGTACATATGTTTGTAAACAAATGAAATCCATCACCAAGGAATACGCTGATTTTTTTCTGGACCAATTCTTACAGCAGCCCTTGTACTTTTGTGTTTGTGTTATTTGTTTTGCAGTAGGAAATTTTGAATGGCCTCGCTTTGCACCATCAATTTTGAACTTTTGTTTCAATTGCGTCCATTTGATTACAACTCTTCACTGTTTTGTATAAGAAAATATGCATATACGTGGCAACTGTGCTTTTTGTTGTAGTCAACTTATAACTTTACTGAACTTACATAATCTCAATCAATTGACATTACAATCTTTGTTTTAAAAATCACAAACGACATTAGCAATTTGACCGAAAATGTCCACGAAATTTGAAATGGACTGTCACAATTTAGGTAGTTTAAAGTGCATCGATCGAAATTAGACGACGGACAAAATGTGTACACCACCCCTGTAATTCTCCCTTCAATCTAATTTGTATGATTTGCTCTTTCATAAGGGGAAGGAAAAGATTGAAGACAATTGCCGAACAACATATCCAAATGTCTGACACTATCGCTGGCTCTTGTCGAAAGCGGCCAGTTGCACCATTCATTTGTTACAGGTACTAGTTCTTTATTTTGACAATCTGGAATTACATATTTCGTACTGAAATTACGCGCCTCGTCGAAGTTCAGTTTGTGATGTTTCAAATTGGTTTTGTTCCGCATGTCTGAAAAAGTTTAACTTGGTGTCGATTCAGTCCCGGATGTACGAAAGCTGTCTTATGCCGATTTCAGGGCCAGCGTGACATAAAAACTTGCATATATATATATATATATATGTATTCATATTTCACATTTAGTGATGATAAGCTTGACGATGCTTGCATGCAGCCAGCAACAATTCAAGGAAATGCAAGGGCCAGACAACACTCGACGAAAAATGGTGAGTGTCGAAATCTGTATTCTCTATAATACACTATGATGCAAACACATGGCTGGGTTGCTATTCACGCGTTGTGTATGTATAATTAGGTGGAAGGCAATGATGTGTGTATCATTAACCTCTCCTCCAATGTTGCTCAACTGAAGGACATGCTGAAGCAACTGCTTCAACGTTTCAGTTTGGGCTGCAACGAACCGTTCACTGAACAAACCAATTTACGTGAACTGAAGCAAATGCTACACCACCTCATCGAAGGTATATTCTCTACACCGCAACCGGCAGGCGTGGCCAAACAGGGTGTGGACCCTGCTGTTGGAGTCGAGGCGCATGAGGATGGCGTGGTCAAACCATCGGACGAAGTTAACCCAATGGAAGTTGTAGTTACAGTAATTTTGGACTCATAGTTGTTACTTGTCTTGTACGTCTGTCATTTTCTTGGTTAAAGACTAGAAAGGAGATTGGGGAAAGGTGGAAGGCACTCCCCTCTGATGAGAAAAAGAGGTTTGTCGAAATGGCTAAGGTGAGCGCTGAGGAACACGCCAAAGTAGTACCATGTGCACCGAAGTCTGAAAAGGTCATTACGTACTTCATGTTTTCGTAAATGCATTTGGCTAGGTCCTGCTTTGCTGACATTGTTGGTTGTATTTTTGTATTAATTTAAGGGTAAAAAATGTGCAGGGTAAAAGGCAACTCCGCATATCATTGAAGTTAATTGTTGAGCTAGTTAACTGGTTCAACGAAGCACAAAAGCAGGCAGTCATTGACATTGGGTTTGCTGGCCTCCTGGGGATGAAGTGTACACGTATAGATCATGACTTGTGCGCATGGTTGGTACAAAACTTCGATCCGGACAGTAGTTCATTGAATGTTCATGGTTGTCAAGTTAGGTTCACGTGTAAGACAGTTAATAGTTTATTGGGAATACGGTGTGAAGGCGATGACGTGCAGTTGGCTGGGTCATTAGAAGCATATCCCAATATCTACGATGAGGTTGGAGTTGTTAACGGAGTCATTCCTTTGAACAAGTTAAGGCTTTATCTGACCGAGACTGCTGGTGCGGAGGACGAGTTTCGGCGGAAATTTGCGCTGTACCTGTTGGGGGCCATGTTGTGTCCTACCACAATGACCGGGTTGAAGCCATCATTCATTCATGCCGTGAAGGACGTGAATCGTATGCGATCTTGTAATTGGGCAAAGTTGACACTGCAATTCCTTCACAACGGTGTTCGCAAGTATAAAGGTCATCGCGGTGCAACTGGATGTGTTTTCCTGCTAATGGTATGCCAATAACTTGATTTTTTTTTTTCCATTCCCCCCTTCATGTGTTTCATGCATTGTTCTGTCATGGTTCAATAAATTGGCCTTGATTGGGACATACAATGGTACCTGCTTTGTGAGTACGACAAACAACACTCTTCCTGACCAAGTATGGTACTTGCAGAAATATATTTTGTGTGACTACCGTCATGAATTTAAGAACAAAGAGTACAGGGAAAAAAGTATGCCGAACCTCAATGGAGGAACCAATTAAAACTACGTTGCGAAGAGGGGAACATGTACATAAATTTTTTTTCTTGGTTTCATCAATAAAGTCTTTGGTGTGCTGTACATTTTTTTCCCCAAAAAACATTACATGATATGTGCCTATAAATTTGACAGCATCCTCAACAAAATCGGTATGCTATGTACGTTCCACTGCAAAATTGAGAATAATGAATGTCATTGTTACTGAATATAGTTCATTTTTATGGGAAGAACAACTTAATTATGGTGTGCCCCTTAATGTCCACAGCTATTGTACCTTGATTGTGTTTGTCTGAGCTCGACTACGACGCGGTCCACACCTCGGCTTCATGATTGGGGTGATACCCAAATACGGGAGATGCTGCGACGTATCAGAAGGAAGAAAAATTTCCCAACAATTGCGGTAAGCACTCCTACCACTGTGCACATTTCACACCATCGACCCACTTGTCTTCAACATACAATGTCAGACTTCATTTATGCGTTTTTATGATTAGGTGGAGTTTGATTACAGTAATGCTGATGATGCTGACATGGATGCATGCCATGTCGAGAACCAACAAACAGGACAGTACAATGAAGTCCGTATGAGCAATTTGGAGTCCGACATTCGCGAATTGAAGGAAATGATGAAGCAAGTTCTCCACAACCAAACAGATTTAATGGAGATGTTGCGACATTTCGAAGGCAAGCAAGTTGTTGGCAATGACAAGGTAATCCATCCAAGCATTACGCAATTTTCACACAGTTGAGCCACATCATTTGAAGATGGTTTGTAAGACTAAGTTCACGAATGCATATGTATGATTAGGTGGATGGCAATGATGTGTGTATCATTAACCTCTCCTCCAATGTTGCTCAACTGAAGGAAATGCTGAAGCAACTGCTTCAACGTTTCAGTTTGGGCTGCAATGAACCGTTCACTGAACAAACCAATTTACGTGAATTGAAGCAAATGCTATACCACCTCATCGAAGGTATATTCTCTACACCGCAACCGGCAGGCGTGGCCAAACAGGGTGTGGACCCTGCTATTGGAGTCGAGGCACATGACGATGGCGTGGTCAAACCATCTGACGAAGTTAACCCAATGGAGTGTAATATTTCAGATGTACAAGGGGTGGATCACCAACAACATATTTTGAAGGGAACCTTGGCAAGGGACAAAAGTCATTTGCATGATGGGCACAAGCTGAACATCGAAGAAGGTGGCGACAACAACAAGAAGGGAGGCCTTCAGTCAGGGGAAACATATGAAACTGAAGATAAATACAGTCCTGACCTTCAGTCAGTGGGCGTGAAGAACGTGGCGTGCGATGTGCATACTTCTCCTACTAAGCTTGGCAAACCATTGGGAGCAACTGGAATCATTAGAGGAAGTGCAAAGGGAAGACGAAAAGGAAAAGGAAAAGGAAAAATGTGCGGAAGTGGAGTTCAAGCCACTGAGGTCGGGGATATGCAATTGTGCATCGATAGCAAAACAAATAGTGGAGTTCACGACAGCAGTTCACCTGTGGATGTTGATGGTGTGGACAACGTGAACAAGGTACAAATACTGCCTTTAATGCCCCACAAGTTGTGAATACCCAATTCATGCCCACATCAATAATGTGAATCAGTAATTTTACAATCATCTGTGTTGTATTGTACTAGTTGTCAAAGAATTGCATGTTTGCAGTTATGACTGCTGCCATATGTTAGTACACATTTCTAACAAACTCCGCACCAAACATCACAAGTTGGGAAAACTCTGAGGCTCACAGTTTTTACAACATTTCTCGTTTTTTTTTATGACTACAGACCTTGTAATATAAGCTTCAATACTTTTATGAAATGTGTACTGTTAGTTGGCTGTTTATTTTTGTAGGACTCGTTGACGATGTTGGACAGCGAAGGGTTGTTATCGGCGGAGGAACAAAAACTTCTTCACTATGTATTTGACGATAGCAAAAATGAAATGTATTGTTTCATTTACTACTTGCAAATTTTCAATGACAGTCCACTGTGAAATAACTATCGTTCTAAGGATCATTTATTGCTTGTAGGGACATTGTTGTTTCCATGAATCTTCATGGACGGGCATGTGAAGTTGGCACCCGGCGTGACATGCGCACGCTCAAACCAGGGTCGTGGCTATCCGACACTGTAAGTGTTGGCTGCACAAATATGAATCTGCGTTTTTCAGTACCCCTAACTCAGAAACCTTTCTAATCAACTTGCCTTGTGTCTTGCATACAATGTTCCAGCCAATCAACTTGGTGGTGGTGCAATTGACTAATCGACAGAGGGATTTACACAATGACGGGAGGCACACTGATTGGTTCTTTCCCGTATATCTGTCGGTAAGTAAGTGTTTAAAGCTACGTTGTGTATTGTGTATGACATATTTTGACAAATGTTTCCGTCAATGACCTTTACGCATTACACATGCAGACTATGATTCTAAATAAAGATATGCAACCTCTGGACCATGAACATATCGTCACATCATTTTTCGGACATGACAGATACACTGGTGCGATTGATGCATGCCAGAGGGTAATATCAATGTTCATCCCGTTATATTAAAACGAAAATATGAAAGCCATTACATGTTTGCATGGCCTCTAAACAAGGTCTGCCGTTGTGTTTTCGTGTAGATTTACGTGCCTTTCAATTACAGAGGAGTGCATTGGTTGTGCGTTAAAATTGATATGGTGGACCGTGTAGCCTACCTATTCGACTCAGTCCCATCCAACCGACCGAACAAAAGGAAGCTAAATGCAGCTAAAATTTTGGTATGTCCTTCTGGTGCATTTCTGAACACTACAAAAAACTTGAACATCCTTTACGTAAACCAACTTCAACCTTGTGGAACAGGTTGAAACTATGCACGACTTGCTGCAACTACACTTTGGAAATGATTATGTTACAGACGTGCGTACCTTCCACCGCTGCATGTTAGACGAGAGGCCAGTACAACAACTGGACGAGTAATCCACAATCCCTCCCTCACATTAATGTCTAAGCTGCATGACTGACTTAATGAACCTATTACGTATTGACGACAACTTTAATGTGAAATTATTTTTGTAGCACGTTTGACTGTGGGATGTTCGTCATCAAATTCATGCAGCAACCTGATTTAAGCCCCGGTCCACACAAGGTACATTCTACCGCTTAATTTCCATTTGTCAATCAAATCCTTCCTCGTACGTCCTCCAATTTTAACTGATTTGTCTTACGATTTTTGTGGACAAAGTTCACTCCCTCTGTGCGTCATAAGTTGTTGGTTGACATCGTTATGGATGTCAATAATGCAAAGATCACAGAGTACCGGGAGTGCCTTCATATGAACAATGCCACAAGCTAGGCCAGTGATGGGAATGGGCTGCCAATACGCCACTAATTTGGGTGGCAATAGGACTTTAACTAATTTTTTATTCTTTGATTTCAATATGGATGTTAATTATGGGTCCCCAGTATTGTTTTTGCTGGAAGATGTAAATATGGACCAACTATAAACATGGATCAAACATGTCGACGTGGCTGCTGACTTAGTACTATTTTCTTTACGCATGTTTCTTGTTCGGATGAATGCGACTGTAACTATATATAATTTACGGCTGCTTTTGTTACCGAAGTTAATTTATAATTTAATTACAAAAAAGAGAAAATTAATTTTCAAAAATGAAAGAAACCACATTATGAATGAAAACTCAATACTCTTCATAGGTAAGTTATATATCAGCCCATTAGCACATATGACTCCAGCCAAAAAAAAACTTTCATGGCTTACAAGGAAGGTTAAAAAAAAAATAAATCAAATCTACATATCTGCTGCATCATCAGCAGCGTCTTCTGAAGAGTTGTCCGTACTGTCTGACTGACTGTCCTCATCCATTGTCTTATCAGACTTCGCTTCGTCCGCCGCCAATTTGTCATCGGTCAGCCAATCAACGTTCTGCTTGATAGCGCCGACTTGCCGCTCCAAACTTGACAACCGTGTGTCCACTTCATTCAGCCTTTCGTAGATAGCTTGCAACTGCTGGAATACAGGAGCAACATGAGCTTCAACAATAGCTTCAATCTTGTTCGAATCGGACATTTTGTAGGAATATGTGTATGGTTTATTTTACTGACTACTTTTTTAAAGGAATGTACAGATTCATAATATTACACAACACTATGCTGTAAGTATTTGTAATATATGGTACATGACTTGTATGTTTGCAGAAGACCTCATGCATTGTGACATACATCGTATTAATTTCTCAAACTGGCCGAATTCATCTTGCAAAAATTCATTCCTTCTTGCATGCACCAAGTCATCCGTTCAGTACCCCTGATCGTCCATTATTTGGCATTTCCAACACACATGCATTGTACCTTCCATCAGTACTAGCCCACTGTCATTGATTTCCACACCCACAGTTCATCATACAGTCACATTCGTCATTTGTATTTGTGCCCCAAGCCAATTACATGTCTACTCATCCATAAAGGTTAGCAAAATTGCTCTTATCAGATACATATGCCGTTCCAATTGCACCGAACCTTTAAATGCAATACCCGCAGTCATTAAGTTGCTTTTACGCAGTTTGGGTAGTTGTTGCCACCAAACAACAATAAGTGTGTTCACGTCTTTAAACCTACCACCAACGTATTAATGACTATGGGTTGAAGGTAATTTAACATTTACTACCAACCACAAAAAAGTTTGCAACCAGTGTTGTTTCCTTTGCATTTGGGTTTGTTTTTGCGTCCATATATTCTTCGTGAACCTGCGAAAACAAAGTTGGACTCAATCAAGAAGCTTCACACCTATGGATGCACACCACGGTAAACGTGGTCGTGGACAATCACTTGCAACGGCTGGCAGCTCCCGACCGAAGTCACCAGAATTGGATTATGCAGGTGGGTATATCGATTCCTTCGGTGATCGACGTTTTTTTTGAAACAGGGTTCCCACTGTGGAGTTTTGAACCTCTACGGGATTACAACTGCACCCCAATACAAGATGCTTGCCTGGGGAAGTATTTTGGAATTCCAGTTTCACTGTTTGCCAAACGAGTTCAGTGTGAACACCACTGTCGATGTGCTTTTTTGAAGGTCACAAAAGCCCGATCGGTTGAAATGCAGCGGCAATTCCCTCATGTCAGCGACTCCCAACTTAGGCATCGTTTGCAAAGTGAGGTTGATCAAATGACTTGTCGACTCATTAGGAACTCACGAATAGTGGACGCAAAGGCAGAGTCGAAGATACATGGATCAAACCCGGCATCTGCGATCAAGGCTATAATGGAGGATCCTGCACTGGTGTCGGACCCTGACCTTTCAGATTACTCAGACTCCGAGGTTGTTGATTTGAGCGAGGATTAGCAGACCTGGACATGTATATGACATAGTAAGTGTAGTCTTGTAAGATGGCATCGTCGCACGAAAATAAACGACTTAGAAACTAACAGATTGTCATACTCTGCTAACCATTGCAACGGTGCATGCGTTAACGTCTTCATCATGTCCACTTTGTTGAAGGTATTTTTTTGGGTCACCGTCCTCGACTAAAAGCTGTCTTATGATTTTTATTGGTACGATGACAAGGTAATTTTTTTGTAATGTCAATGACCGATATCAGAAACTATCATTAACCTATGTTTTGTTGATTACTTCATGTTTGTGAATCGTTCAATATGGACAATAAGGTTTAAGTGTCGGAATCATTGACTGGAATCACAAGCTGTAATTGCAAACAAAAATTGTGCACAACCAGCCAACGGTCTCATACACTCTTAACATCAATATGGACACAAAATGTTTTGTTTTTTCAAATACAACGGTTGTGTGGAAGCATACCCCATGGGGTCAACCTGTGCATTACCAATTTTTCTCCCATTGTGCATTGTTATGAACTAATCAACTCCGAAGTATCCGATACGTATCTGCGAGTATCCGAGGAGTATCGGTATCTGATAAGTATCCGATACGGATACGTCATCCTTTTTGAAGTATCCGTGCTTCATAGGTTGGAGCAGAGCCAGTTGGGCGTTTAACTGTTGCACCTCATTTGTCCTACTCTGCAGCCGGTGCGACAGGTTTGTGACCGCCGTCATGGTCTCCACACATGACTTCAAAGTATACTGATTGGCCTCAATATCAGTTTGCACTGTCATTTTTTGCTCCACCGACCGCATCGGAAAGTTCAACGGAGCAAAACCAGAGGCGCTTGGTTGAGGTTCACTGGCCACCGCACCAGTTATCTCTCTTGTTGACTCGTTGAGGTCGGGAAAGAGAGTGAGCAGACTACGGGACGAAGAGGCCATATTCTGGGTAGCTGAACGGGAAGAAGAGGCCATTTTCTGGGCAACCGAGTATTACAGAGTGTTTCAAGATTTGCAGCTCTTAGAGACAATCTCTCAGCAAATGAAGAGTTTTTTCAGAAGTTTTTTCACAAAGTTTTTTTGTCTTCGCTTCTGTCTCAAGCACAGCCTCCGCCTCAGTTTATAAAGACCCTGACGCAGAGGCAGACACGCGCATCATGCGCCGCTCGGCGCTCAACGACAACATGGGCGCGCCTTTTAATGGCCCGTCTTTTTGATGGCACGCCTTTTGATGGCACGCCTTTTTATGGATTGGGCTCGCCTTTTGATGGCACGCCTTTTTTTGACCGATTGGGCACACCTTTTGAGGGTGCGACTTTTTAGGGGTCTGACAAGACTCTGTAAACTGTCCCGACATTGATTCCGGTTAGTTTCTACAAGGGTCCAGCAAGACTCCGTAAACTGTCACAACAACTGTCACAACATTGTCTGCTGCAACGGTCCGACATGACTCCATAAACTGTCTTCTACATCGGTCCAACACGAACCAGTGTCTTCTACATCGGTCTGCCATAACCATACAGTGTCTTCACACGGTCTGACACGACCACACAGTGTCTGCTAAAACGGTCCGACATGACCCCATAAACTGTCCCGACATTGATTACGGTTAGCTCCTTCAAGGGTCCGACAAGACTCTGTAAACTGTCCCAACATTGATTCCGGTTAG